GTTCTACAAGAAATCTTCATAGCTTTCACTATCAGTAGCTGCTGAAGGAGGACACAGACTGTAGCTTCTTCTCCAGGACCCGTGTGTTCAGCTTTATGAAGAGCTCTAGAACCTGGTACCCAACAAAGAATTGCTTCATAAAGACACTGTATCCACACAGCTTTTTTTTTTTTTTTTTTGTACATCGTGGGCCCAAGGGAAGGATAGGCATTTGGGAAATAATCACTATTGGAAAGTCAGAGCTTCAGTCCTGATGAGACTTGATGAGCCGGGGTGGATAGGAAGGGGGGAGGCTCCCCTTTTCTGATAGTGGAGGATGGAGGGGTAGAGGGAGAAAGGGAGGGTGGAACTGGGAGGTGAGGAGGGATGAGGCTACAATCACAATGTAAAGTAAATAAAATAAAATAATAATAAAAAAAGTCAGAGCTTAGCTGGGCAAGGTAATTCCCAGCACTTGGGGAGGAAGAGGCAGGCAGATTTCTGTGAGTTCGAGGCCAGCCTGATCTACAAAGTGAGGATAGTCCAGGATAGTCCAAGGCTACATAGAGAAACCCTGTCTTGAAAAAAACAAAACAAACCACAACAAAAAGTTGGAGCTTTATTTTTCATGGAAAGAGCAAGGTGGTGAATATTTTTTTAGACATCAAAATACAAGTATATGCATGATTTTAAAAAAATGAATGCAAACACTGGAAAATGGCTAAAAGAAAATTTAAAAGCTTTTAGCCTTTCTTTATTTTGTTTGTTTGTGTGCCATCAGAGGACAGCTTGCAGAAACTGGTTCTCTCCTTCCACCACATGGGTCCCAGGGATGGAACTCAGGTTTGGAGGCAAGCAGCTTTATCTACTGAGCCATCTTGCTGCCTCTTGTTTTTTGTTTGTTTATTTTGTTAAAGTAACAAGGGAAGAAACAGACAATATTACCTAGGCAACAATGGAGTGAAATTTTTAGAAAAGAGAGAGGACAAAGGGACACTTCTCTGAGTTAGTTTTGACTTTTACAAACATTAATATCCTACTTATTAAAAAAAATTAAATCAGGGTAAGGGGTAGCCAAGGCCTATAATCCCAGCACTTAGAAAGCTAAGGCTGGAGAATACTGAGCTCCAGGCCAGCGAGCCCATGCCTCAAAAGAAGAGGAGGGAAAAGGCAAGACCATTGAGAAGGAATCTGTAGATCAACGGGAGAGTGCTTGCTTAGCATGCAGAGAACCTGGATATGCATTTGTAATTGAAGGCAAAAAACAAAAACAAACAGACACACACACACAAAAAAAAAACAACAAAACCCGAGATTCTCCTCCAGATTAAAGGGTTCTAAAGAAGTCATTGCATAGTGCACTGTTTGATCCCAGGTTAGATCCTGAACTAGGAAAGAAATTCTTGATTTAAGTGGTGAACTCTGAGTACAGTCTATAGACTACAGGACAACATTGTAGCAATGTCAATTTTCTTGCTTTTTGTATTTGTGTAGTGGTTACATAAAGTAACCTTGTTCATAAGAAACACACAGTGAGACACTCTGAGGTACATAGACACCTGAAGACAGCCTATTCTCAGGCAGCTGAGAACAAAGTGTGCGTGCCAGCACACACAGCTGTTCACTCAGAGTGTGCACAGTAACGGGAAGACATTGCAATGAGTTTGTAAAACAGATGAAGGGTAAAGAGTTGTTTGTAGCACTTACTCAGCTTTTATATAAGTTCAAAATTAACTTCAAAAGAGTTTGTTCTTTTTAAAAGGTGCCTCTGGCTCCAACACGTTTATCCCTCAACCCCCAGTATACATTTTCTTAAATCAGTGAAGAACTTGCATAATCTTGAACTTTATTGAAGAGATGAAATGAGGGAGATGGAAATGACAGTCACTTCAGGGGTAATGAAATGACAGAGGACAAAGTGGGGCTGCTCCCTTTGGCACAGGGTCTCTGTCTGAGAGGAGCCGACCTTCTAGGTCTGTCCCTCACCCTCATCCTACAGGAGAAAGGAAGAATTTTAACCATAGACTTTTTATCATCATTGTTTAATTTTAATCTGGTCATTGGTAAATGGAATGACAAATCACAGAAAGTAGCAAGATGTGTATTTCATAGGGTGTGCCCTATCTTAAAAGGGAAGGCCATGCAGAGCTGGGCAGGACCTGGATACAGACAGGTCCACCATGCTAAACAGAGAACACTCTCCAGTTTTAATACTTTTCATGGAATCACTGTGTGGTTCAATTGCCTCAGCAGCCAAAACAATACAAGCACAGTATGCTTTACTCTGATTTGGATATTTATAGTAAACAGCTGTATACCCCACCTCAGGAGTTTAGATACAGATTTCACAATTACGAAGAAACAACAGCATCATCCTCAGAGAATGCAAAAGCAGAGGAATGTTGACAAAGTGCTTTGTTTAACCAAAACATGAAGGGAAAATCAAGATTCTGGGACATGTCACTGAATTCATAGCCAAGGAGAAACAAATCACATTATTAGCAGCACATACCAGCCAATGGATAACTAGTTAAAGCTGGACATAGTTTATCCAAGACACAGCTCAGGAAACTGGGATCCAGAATGTTTAGGATCTGGTCAGCTCATGCTCCACCCACTGACCCAGTTCCTGTGGTTTACAATTGAATCTCTGCATTCTGAAGGCCCCACTCAAGGCCCTCACTCTAGGAAAGTTTAGTTTCCTCTAGTAGTTTAGGGGTATGTATGCCTTGTCTAGTAGTTTAGGGGTATGTATGCTAATGAGCACGAGTAGCTTTGTAAACCTGGCTACTTTCCAGAATTGATTATAAAGATCAATTTTACAAAAACATAAATTAAAAAGGCTGATTCCGTATGACGGTGGAGTGTCCATGTGTCTCTAGGAGCACCACTCTTCCCATTCCAGTTCTGGGTCCCTTTGCTTTACTGATTTATCCCTCTATTGTGAATGCCCAGTACAGGATTAAAATACCATTTTCATGGCGAGATTTCCAATTTTACCAGCAGCCTTAAAGGAAAATAATCAAATACGTCTAGAGCTGGTAGAGCAGGTTTTCAAGTAAAGCCACACCCTTCTGGTATCATGTAGGCCTGGGAACCTCTCTCTCACAGATTTGAGCCAATTAGTATTTTCTACTAAGCCCTTGGCAGGTGTCAACCTGCCCTTCCCAAAGGCTCCATTACAATGGTGCATCAAACATGCAGGACTAGGATAGAGGCCTGGGTGGACTAGCCTTGTCCTGCCCAAGAGTGCCCCAGCCTGCAGCCTCCTTGGCTTGCAACTCCATTCTTCCAGGGTCGAAGGAAGAATTGAGGTACACATCTACCTCACAGGAAACCAGTCCAATTCTTTTTTCCACCATCTTAGAAAATGAGGTTGAAAGAGAGCTGGCTTTCATTGAGTGAAATGAAATTCAGATTTTTTTTTTTTCTTTTTGAAATAGGCTCTTGCTATAGACAAAGCTGCCTCCACTATCCCAGTGCGGGGATTACAGGTATGTTCCACCACACCCAGCGAAGGGAACAGATTGTTTTTAACACAGAGTCAAATGATATCAGCAGATTTAACTACAGAGTTTCTGATAGTTTCCATCTGTCAATTGTTCATGTACCATTGCACTGCTTTTACTGTGGATCTTTCATCGATTTTACTTATTATTTTACACCTTTAAGTTTTTGTGTGTGTGTATTTATTTTCAGAATCATCAAAGAAGCATCTTCAGTTCATCTTTTTCCCCCTCCTGGTTGTAAAACCTAACTGCTTTGAGCATGCTAAGCAAGCACTCTTCACTGGGCACCACTCTACTTCCAGTTTGTTTGTAAAAAAAATACTGAGCTCAGTTAAACTCCGTTTTGAAATAACTGCAGTGTACAAGTGCATGTTGGTGGTTTTGTTTTTATAGCTCTATAACTTACACTCAGGTTCGAAATATGTAACTTATGGTTAAAAACAAATGTCTGCTTTGGTGCTGGGAGTTGAATCTAGTGCCTCATAGGCATGTGATGTGAATGCTATGCCATTGGGCTTCTCCTAGACAAAGCTTTTTATATTTAAAGACCATAACCTGCTGCACTGAACCCTCGATTGTCCTTTTACAAGCTTCTCACTTTTGGGTGAAGTTGGATAAGTCTGAGCAATTTGGATTTGTCTTTCAAACATGAAAGAAAGACCTATATAGAAGAGGGAGGAGAAAGGGGAGGAGGAAGGAGGAGACATTCCCATCTGTTTGCCCAAGCAACACATCTTTTGCAGCACAGGTCAGTTGTCTGTGCATGTTTGGGTGTGAGTTAGGGGTCTGGGTGGGGGTGGGGAGCACTTCAAAGACTATTAAAGAAATTTAAAAGCATGGAAGGAATCATATGTTTTCCATAGTTTGTATCTGGTTTGTTTTGAGAAGAGATTAGAAAGCAATTCCCCCGAAAAACAACATAAGAGACCCAACATTCACTATCCTGCAAGGATCTTTACTGATCAGGGCTGTTATGCAACCAGTTTCTCTTGAGAAGACAGCATATTTAATAAATAATTTCAAATGGGCACGAAAATACATAATATTTGGTAAGAGAAATATTTACAGCATTGGTAAAACATGAAAATAACTGTTTATGGAAACTTGATCATCATCAGGAGCAGAACAGAGGCCCCTTAGGAGATCAAGTATGCTGATGTCAACATTCTTCTTGACTTAGGGTTCTGAGAATATGGGAATCACTATGGTTTCACTGTGTAAGGAGTTGCCATAGTTACGAAAGGAAGAGTAAGAGCATCACTCTGTGTACGAATAAAAAAAAAAATGCCACAATACAAAGCACGTGATAGCGGCATAATAAAAGTGACTAAGTTACAAATAGTGATATTCTTAGAAGCTAGTTGAATATCATTTTTATCCAGAGGTGAACCTGGCTTACACTCTCACTGGTATAAGACACTTTCATACAGACACACACACACACACACACACACACACACACACACACACACACACA